TAGGGCCTCTCCCCTGTGTGGATGCGCTGGTGGCGGATCAGTTCAGAGTTCCAGCTGAAGCCCTTCCCACATTCCCCACACTCGTAGGGCCATTCCCCAGTGTGGATCRGCYGGTGAYRGARCAGGCGGGTGCTTTTGCTGAAGCTCTTCCCACACTCCAAGCACTTGTAGGGCTTCTCCCCAGCGTGAAGCTGCTCATGGACCACCCGGTCCAAGCCCCGGTTGAAGCTCTGAGTGCCTTCCTGGCACAGGGTGGGTCTTTTCCCCTCAGAGCACCCTGGCCTGGGTTTGGAGCCCCTCCTTGCGCAAGATCTCCGGGGTTTTTCCTTCTCATTGGATTCCTGCACCCTGGGGCTGCACAAAACGGCCTCATCCATGAGGTTCTGCTGGGGGGATTTGTCCTCCTTGGTCTCCATCCGCAGCTCATTGTCTGTGGGAGGAAGGAGAAGGAGAGGATGGGATTTGAATCTGTGCCAGAGGGAAGGGGAAGGAGATCCCTCCAGTCCATTCCCAGCAGGACGGTGTCAGCAGCGGGGTTGTCTTGCAGCCGGGGTCAATGCTGGGCTGGGAGATGGAGGAGAAGAAGAGGGGAAACAGGAGCGGTGACTTCCTCCTCACCTGCCTGGGGGTCCTGGGGCATCCTCCTCTTCCTCACAGCCTCCTCCTCCTCCATCTGACCAACGTTTGGGAATAGCAAATGCTGCTTTAGGGTAAAAACAAGGAATGAGCACGTTGAGTCTGAATATGCCTCTGCTCAAGTCCATCTCCAGGAGTCAATGGGCATCTACTGCCCAGAGAACACCCCCAAAAACCAAGATTCAGCCTCAAAAAGTCCTCCCAGGAGTTCCCTCTCTATGGTCTCTCCCCTTTGGTGTTCAGGGGTTCCTCCCTGTCCAGGTGGCTGAGGGTCCCATGTGTATTGGGGCTCCCACTCTCTCCTTCATTCCCACCCTCCCCAGGCTGCTGGGAGTCCCAGGAATCTGAAAAGTTCTCCCTCTTCAGTCTCCCCACTTAGGGATGCTGGGGATTGTTGGAGTCCTGGGGTTCCTTCACATTTTATTCTCTGCTTCAGGGCACAGGGTGTCCAAGGAGTTCCCCCTCCCCCTCTCCAGACTGTTGAGGGTCCCGAGAATCGTCTGTCTCGGAGCTCCCCACTTTCAAGTCCTGGGGGACACAGGGCTCTGCTCCTCCACAGTGCYGGGGATCTCCTGYTCCCACTATTGCACATCTCTGTTCTCCCCACTTGGGGGGGTCTCAAGGTTCCCTACTCTTGCTCTCCCAGGGGGTCTCACATTCCCCYTGGCTCCAGGTGAAGGTGGAGGTGCCTGACYYGGTGTACCAGTTTGAAAGCAAACCAGCGGGGAAATTATCCCCA